GGCCGCCCCGGCCGAGCGATCCCAGAGGCTGTCTGTCTCGCAGTCCGCGCCGCGGCGCGCGGGCCACCAGCGCGGCGTGGTGCCTTCCCGCGCTGCCAGAGATGGAGCAATCGGCCCGCGTGCCCTGAGGCGGCCCACGCTGCGCGCGCTGCACCGCCCCCGCGAGCCGGCGGCAGCCAGGCGCGCCCCGGGAGGCCACGCAGGTGCAAGGCCGCGTCGTGGCGCTTCTCGGTACGGTCGGGCCGCGGTATCAGATCGAGGTCGGCTCGGGGTGGTGCTCTCCCGCGAGACGAGAGGTCGGCGGCGAAGTCCGAACCCTACCCTAGCCGATCAACGCTTCAGGCAACTCGATGGGCGCTGGGGGTTTGGGTTTGGAATCCTGCGAACACGCGGCGAAATCCGAAATCCCCACCCCCACCTCCTATCGATTCAGGAGAATCGATGGTTGGTTGGGGTACGGTCGGACCAAGGTATAAGATCGAGGTCGGTTCGGGGAGGGTAGACGATTGTTCTTCGTGCTTGTTGGTCTTGTCCATCCTGGAGAAGGGTACCCTCGGTGATCTTATGGTTTGGGGTGTTTTGGCCGGCAGAGGGCCTAATGCTCTTGAAGGACGTTTTTCTTTGGTTCGGCTGTGGGATTCGGATGTCGCCACCTGATACAGGGCGTCGCGCCGCGCGTGTAGAGAGGACCCAGAGGCTCCAGGATATCAGCGACCAATTGTGCGGCAGTCGGCGGACACGAGCCTGGTGCGCATCAGGGCCGTGGAAGGAAGACACACCCCGCCCCCCCCCGCCATAGGTCGGATATAGCCAGGACCTGGGGTAAGGGGAGCCGGTTAGTGACTGGGCGATGAAACCCCAACAGGGTGCCAGGATCGCTAACCCAGTCTGCCGAAGCTGGTGTTTCTTCGGACTACGGCAGTTCAGGCCAATGCAATGGGGCGGAGATGATCCCCCAGTACACATCGCTAAACCATGCCCCACTAAATCTAGTCCCGCTAACGCCCGAATAGGGACGTTATTAGACAGTCTTGCCCTGCTCGACTCCTTCTGGTGCGCTTGCTGGAATGGCCTCAGCTGCAGACTTGCGTATTGTGAGGCTCGTTTTTCTGCCCCCTGCAGTCAGCGTCCTACCAGAAGGAACGCCAAACAAGGAACGAAGGGGCTTTCGTGGCCGCGGCGAGCTTCGGCTTCGAGTTGGTTCCCCGACCTAGATCTACGGAACGGCCCGACAACCGCGAGTGCCAAGAGCGGAGCCGGCACTGCGGCCGCTCGGCCAATGCCAGCAATGGTCGGCCACGCGCAGAGGGGGGTAGCGGGAGGAGGGGAGGCTTCTCAGAAGCACATTTGCTTCTCAGAAGGCGCGGGCCTTGTCTACAGATGCAAGGCCGGCTCCTTTTAAGAAGCGGCCTCCTCCTAAGAAGCCTTCCCTCCTCTCCCATACCGTTTGTGCGCGCCGCCAAGATGGAGCAGTCGACCCGCGTGCGCTGAGACGGCCCACGCAGCGCGCGCTGTACCGCCCCAAGAGCCAGCAGCAGCCAGGCGCGCCCCGTAAAAGCAACGCGGTTGCAAGGCCGCGTCATGGCGCTTTTTGGTACGGTCGGGCCGAGGTATAAGATCGGGGTCGGCTCGGGGAGGCTACCCTACCCATCGGTCGTTGAAAGGAGGTATTTTTGGATTCCAAGGTTCCAATATACTTTACGCGCCATTCTACTTCAATGATCGAGTGGCTTCGCCGTTTCCGTCCTTCCGAGGGGGAGGACGGAACCGGATCTATTTTCAACGCCTTTCTTTTTCATGTTTCTACCTACTTCTTCCGACCGATGGGTACGGTCGGGCCGAGATATAAGATCGAGGTCGGCTCGGGGAGGGTAACCTAATGTTCTCCACATTTCCTGGACGCTCTTGTGCATCCTGGGGGAGGGTACCCTTGGATGCTCTTCGGTTTGGCCAGCGGAAGGTCTCATGTTCTTGGGGAAGCTCTTCTGTCTTAGGTCCGGCCGTAAGGGCGTTTGAGGGAGGCGTCGGCGAGGAGGTTCTGTTCAGGTCGGACGGAAGGGGGATGGGGACAGGGGAGGGGGTGTAGTTACGAAGTCTGCTGCTTGCAGCTGGTCTCGGCCTCCCAGCCGAGCGCTTTCCTCGGTGACTGTGCGCCTCCGGCGCCAGGAGGCGCCAAGAAAACCAGTTATTATTTGAGCTGATTCGCTAACCCCCCCTTTACAATATCCTCCTTTCCGTCTGATTGCATCTGTGAACGCTTGCGAACCCTACCCCTGTGGGTCGTCATCGACGGGGGGTATCGGACTCCTCGCTGGGGTTCATTTGGCTGCAGGCATCCTTCAAATTCTGCCCCCTGCTACGGGGTAGGGTTCACATGGTACGGTTTCCTGGAGGCAGCTCAGGTGAAGCACCGCCTCCGTGAAACGCTGGTTGGCACCAGGTTCGAAGTCTCCACAACTGCGTCGACCAGCTCTTCGTAGAAATTCTCCCACTGGTGGACCTCCTGCGGCCGATGAGCAGCAGCCGGCAGCTCCGACAGCAGCAGCATCAGCAGCAGCAGCAGGGGCGGTCCTCTGGGACACGCGTCGCTCACTCGTCGACCGCCACTGTCAGCGCACGCCAACGTCGCCCAAACCAGCGGCGGCTTGTCCCATCATCGCAAGTCTGGCGTGAGCCACAACAGCGCCCTCACTTCATCACCTTCGATCGCGCTGCAGTTTGAATGGCGAAGACATGGGGGACGTCATGACGATGGAACGGCCTGAGCGGGGAGGAGGAGGAAGAGGAGGAGGAGGAGGAAGAATGGGTGTTCGAATGATCGCCCCCGTGCCGGGAGGAGTGTAGCATACCAGCAGTGCAGGATATGTTGCTGTGGTTATCTGCGCAAGTTCAGCTCAAGTGATCGACAGTTGAATCGCTCAATCAGTCCGAGTGTGAGAAGATGTTCCTACTGTTCAACCTCCTTGGAGTTTGCAGGGGGAGGGGAGGGAGGAGGAGGAGGTTGCGAAAGAGAAGGAGAAGCAGGACGGGGAGCAGGAGTATGTCGAGAAAATGGAGGGGGAGGAAGAGCAGGAGGACGGGGAACAGTTTGGAGGGATGAGGAAGTAGAAGGTGGCGGAGGAGTAGCAGGAGGGTTGGCACGGGCGGGGTCGCGAGAGACTCCTACGCATTACCAAGCCAGACCAGCCCCAGTCCCTCGTATGAAAAGGAAGCCAAGCGAAAGCAGTCGATGCGAAGTAGAGTGGAAGCACATCGGAAGTGGCAGCAGCAGCAGGCAAAACCGGCGCACTGAATGCCGTGCGCAAGCGAATGCAGGCCAATGGCCGTCTTGGCTAACCGCTGACCAGGTGTCGAGTGCCCGGAAGGCCAGTTCGTCAATTTCTGGCAGTATCTGCAGCTAGTGAGGCTGCTGCAGGACGAGAGCGACCGCAAGCAGGAACCCCCACAGTCGTGACTCCTCAGGTTCCTCTTCTTTCTCCTCCACCTCCTCTTCACCACCACCATCACCATCATCAGCATCATAATCACAAGAATCATCATCATCATCATCATCATCATGATCATCATCATCATCATCATCATCATCGTCATCATCATCGTCATCATCATCATCACAATCATCATCACAATCATCATCATCAGCATCATCATCGTCATCATCATCATCATAGTCATCATAGTCATCATCATCATCATCAGCATCAGCATCATCATCATCATCATCATCATCATCATCATCATCATCATCATCATCATCATCATCATCATCATCATCATCATCATTCTCATTATCATCATCATAACCATCATCATGCCCACTCCATCCCCCCCCCCAAACTTGCCCAAGAAGGCTCCATGGTCCACCACGGCCCAGGATAGCTCCTGGGACCTCAAGAGGGCCCCGAGAGGAGCCCAAAGGCCCTTAAGACAGGCTCACCGTGTCCCAAGTCCCGAGCCCGCACTGGGCCCGTGTCCGCCTCTCCCCTCCGACTGACGTGGCGTCGCAAGCCCTGCACGCGGGGCGCTTCTTGCGCTAAGGCTTCCTTCGGCCTTGCCTCTTCGGGGACTGATCGACGGCACGGCTGCGCAGTTGGACCCGTCCTTTAGCTTCGCAGCAACCACCCAACTCAGGGACATGTCTCGGGATTCATCCAGTGCCCAAGACCGCGTCTTCGGAGTATATTAGAACCTGAGCGAGCGCGCGTAGCGCGCGTGAATCAAATGTAAATGTACATAATGTTTTGTGTATAAGCATACAAGCGCATGTAGATACACTGTGACCTTGGTTGGGAGGGAGTTGGAGGGTCTGGAAGGAGTCCTTGGAAGGCGCCGTAGAAGTTAACGTGCGCGGGCTCTGTAGGCCACACGGACCACAGGGAATCACAGGGGCGGCTCCTCTTTCTCCACCTCCACCTCGCGCCGTCAGGGGACTCGAAACCCTGGGTCTCTTTGAGCGGACCCGTTCCGAAGAGTTCGGTTGCAAGTGCCGATCCGAGTGCACTGACATGGGGCTCGTTCGTTCGTTCCACCGTGCGCCGTTCGGCAGTGCGTCTCCTCGTTCCGCTGTGCCAGAGGCTATACTCCTCGACGACAGGCAACACCGTCTTGCGAGTATATATTATATCATGCCGGTTTCGCCCTTTGCATGTGCCTTTTTGCCGCCGTGACGTATAGGGCCAAGAGACTAGATGAGGCGGCGGAGGAGGACGAGGCGAAGCAGGAAATGAGCAAACCCAGGATGCATCAACGATGCTGCAATGCAACCTCGCGTCTCAAGGCCTCTCATCATAAGTCCCTACATGGATTCCTTTCCGCTGCGGGAGGCGACCCCCTTGAATGACGAGCGCATCGTGGGCATTCCACCCAGGCGAGACCCCGTTTTTGCAGAGGATCCGTACTCCATCCTTGCTGTTACCAGAAACGAGGGAGGTACGATTAGAAAATTCAAGGGTTCAAGGGCATGGCCGGCGATAGCCCCGTTTGGCAAAGGCTTTGGCTTCCATCCGTATAAGTGTTGCGCACGTTGAAAGTTCTGCCCATAGAATCTGCAGAAGTCTCAAGCGATACCAGCCGCATTTTAGAAGGGAGTCGCCTCCATCTGCGAACTTGCTGCACACTTTCGAACTTCGGGTCGTAGAGTCTGAGGATGTTTCTAGCGATACGCGCATTTTGAACACCAATTCGAGCCCATCCTCGTAAGTCGCTGCCGGGGACTTCTAAGACGATTGTGCGCGGCGCTAAGGCAAGAACTCTAGTTTGAACTCCTCCTCCAGCCGTGCACCTCTTGGTATTTGAGGCGGGCGTGCGCGGTGTTTGGGAAACACTTGGCCTCCATCCGTGTAGCTGCGGGAAGTTGTCAAGCCAAGTGTGCGCGGCGTTAAGACGATAGCCGCATGGCAATGCACCCTCCCATCCGTGTAACTGGTATAGTCGTTTAAGACGCGTGTGCGCGGTGCTGAGGTGGGAGCCGCATTTTGACAACGAGCCATCGTCCGTCCTTGTAAATGCTGGGAATGTTGAAAACGAGTGTGCGCTGCGCTGAGGCGAGCGCTGTATTTTTTGTGAGCGACTGGCCCCTCATTCACATAGTTGTTGGGCTTCTCTCTTGAGGACAGTAAGGTCAGCGAATCGTCCGGCCTAGCCTGCGGACAAGTCTGGCAGTGCGGCGAGGGGGGGAGTTCTTGAAGACACCTACGGCAACTGACTGCCGCCCCCTGCTTTCTGGAAACACCCTTGCGGCCAAACGTTAGGCCGAAGTCTGGCCACGCTATTTGACTGTATACGTGTCCCCCCCACAGCCGCTGTGGAATCCCATGGGGGAACACTGGGGAGAGGAAGAGAAATGAGGAGGAGTGTCATGAGTGTCATAGATCCAAGAATTGAACGGCGAGCGAGGCTCAACCGTCACCCTCGGCTTCCCAGACAGGAGGAAGGGGTCCGCAGGCGCCAGCACCGACGGTCAGGGGAAAGGCAGATACCTCGTCGCTCAGCGAATCGCTGCCCAATCGAGACGGCGTGGTGCGTAGGGGGAGCCGGCTCACCGCGTCACCGCGCAGTACTTCGCATGCAACTGGGCTTGCACCCCAGGGTGAGCGGACACAAGGTCCCAAGGGACTTACGGACCACATGGCCCCGCCTCTCAACCAAATGCGCACTCCCCGTGCCTGGTACCCACCTCCAGGTCACGGGCGCAGCTAACGCGCCGTTGCCACGGGCAAAATGCCACGTGGCTGCTGCAAAAACGACGAAAGCCCGTTTATGTGCCCCCAGCCGCCGCATGCAATTGACAATGACGGTGTGCCCCGAGGAGTGCGTGGCGCTGACACTATGAGAACAGGTGCCAGGCCCCCACCCTCGGGGCAAGAGAAAGGAGGGGGAGAGGGAGGAGAAGGAGGAGGACGAGGAAGAATAGACGGCCTCTTTAGGCCCTCTTGGGGCCCCCCTGGAAGCTTCCTGGGAGCCTCTCTTGTGCCTCCAAGCGGTCTCCACGCGGCTTCTGAGGGCCTCTAGGGACTTTTTGACCTTCGGATGCCGTCTTGGAGCTCTCTTTGGGCAGTCGCGGATCCCTTTTTAAAGGCGTTTGGGGGGCCTCTTGGGCGGTCTTGGGACCTCTGGGGCCGTTTCGCCGGCCTTTTCGAGGCATCTTGGAGACTTCTTGGGCCGTCTTGGGGTGATTTTGGGAGGCTCATGGGGCAGTCCTGGAGCGTCCGTCGGTAACCCGAAACGCGAGAACGCTAAATCCCATTGGAAAGCCGAAGGCGGATCTCAAATTTTGGTTTCCTGGAGGTCCCCTTGGAGCCCTCTTGATGCGTCTTGGGGGCCTCTCGGGCCGTCTGGAGGACATCTTGGGCCATATTGGGGCCAGATTGGCAGTCTTGGAGGCGTCTTGGGGCCGTCGTTTGGGGCATCTTGGCCGTCTTGGACGCATCCTAGAGGCACTATTGGCCGCCTTGGTTTGGGCCAGTGCAGTTTGGTCTTCGCTGCTCTCAGGGTGGCCGTGGCGATCGGCCGTGACCCCATTGGGAATTTGTTTCAAATAAGCCCCCCAGAAGTTTGGCACGCCGCGCACCCTTGTGGCAAGCCACATGGGGGCGGCGGGTCGAAGACGCCTACGGCGAATCACCGCCGCCCCCTGCCTTTTAGGTTTCGCCTATGTGGCCAAACGCTTGGGGAAAATTTGGCCACGCTATTGGACCATGCGTTCCCCCAGCCGTCGTGGAAGCCCCTCGGGGAATACGTGGAGGAGGAAGAGGATGATGAGGATATGGAGGAAAAAGAGGATGAGAAGGATGAGGAACCCCCTTGGGAGCTTCTTGGGTCTTGCTTGGGGCGTCCTGGGAGCTTCCTGGGCTGGAGGCCTGTTGGGGGTCTCCTTGGGCCTTTTGGTGGCCTTTGGCAGCTTCTTGGAGGCTTCTTAGGCAGTCTTACGGTGTCCCTGGCCCGTCTGACGCCGTCGGCTGCCGTGTTGGGCGCCTTTTTGGGCCGCTTTGGGGTTTTCTTGGGATTTTTGGGGCGTTTCAGGGTCGTCTTGAAGGCCATCTTGGGCGTTTTGGAGGCCCTTTAGGCAGTCTTGGGGCTGTTTGGTGGCCATCTTGGGAGCCTTTTGTGCCGTCCTGGTGGCATGTTGGGGACATTCGGCCGTCTTGGACCGTCGGAAGGCCGTTTTGAAGCGCATGCCAAAATCCTTCAACAACCTAGGGCAAATCAATGATTTGAGCCTCTTCGGGCCTTCCTGTATGTCCTCTTGAAGGCCTCTGAGGCCGTCTTGGAAGCCGCGTGGGCGCTTCTTGGGCCATCTGGAACCGTCTTGGGGCCAGCTTGGCCGTCGTGGAGTCATATTGGAGACCATATTGGGCCATCTTGACCGTCTGGGATGCCATCTGGAACATCTCGGAGGCCATCTTAAGTGGAAAAGCCGACGGGAAATGCGCCTGGGAGAGCTTTCCGGGTGGTCGGCGGGATCGGCCGACACCCCAGGGGGAGTTTTCCAACAACCAAAACAAAACATGTAGTAAGCTGGGCACCCCTGTGATAAATCAATAGTGGGCGGCGGATCGAAGACGCCTGCGGCGAATCACCGCCGCCCCCTGCCCCTTTGGAAGCGCCTCTGTGGCTGACAGCTGGGCCAGAGCTTGGCCAAGCTATCGGGCCAGTTGTTCCCCGAGTCGGTTTGGAAAGACTTCGGGGAACGCAGGGGGGAGCAAGAAGAGGAGGAGGGGGGGGGATGAGGAAAAAGGGAGGAGGAGGAGGAGGAGGAGGAGGAGGAGGAGGCCTCTTGGGCGCCTCTTGGGGCACTCTTGGGGCCTCCTGGGAGCTTCCTGGGGGCCTCTTGGAGGGTTTTGGGGGGCCTTTGGGGGCTGGGGGCCTCTTTGGCCGTCTCAGGACGTTCCTGGCTTGTCTGACGCCGTCGGAAGCCGTCTTGGGGGCGTGTCTGGGTCATCTTGGGGCCCTCTTGGGGCATATCAGGGGTTCTTAGAGGCCATCTTGGGCGTCTTGGAGGCCTCTTAGGCCGTTTTGGGGCTCTGTTGGGGCCGTCTTGGGAGACTTTGTTAGGCCTTCTTGGGTGCATCTTGGGCCGTCTTGGAGGCGTTTGGGGGCCATCTTAGCCGTCTTGGAGGCCATCTTGGAGGCCATTTTGGGCCATCTTGAGCAAAGAACGCATTGGGATTGAGGTTCTTTCCGGGTGGCCGGCGGGACGGGCCGAAGCTTCAGGGGAGTTCTTTTGGAAATGGCATTCGGCCCATCCCGCCACCGCATTTAGGTTGTAGGTGAGTACCGACACGGAGTCGGAGGATGAGATAGAGTAGAAAGGATATAGAGGCGGAGGGGAAGGAGGAGGAGAAGGAGGAGAAGGCGGAGGAGAAGCACGAGGAGGAGCACGAGGAGGAGGAGGAGGAGGAGGAGGAGGAGGAGGAGGAGGAGGAGGGAGGCGCGGAGGATGCGGACGACGAGGGGGAGGCAGGAAGAACCAAGAAAGATGCAAGATGCTTTGCGCGGCGTATGCAGTGGTGGAGAGGAGAGAGGATCAATGATATGGTGCTCCGCCTCCTACTCTCCTCCGTCCCCCTCAACCTTGTCCAAGGGCACGTCAATGGTGGGCTTCCGCAAGCGCAGTCCCACTCATAGGAGCCCGCCCTTGACGCTTCCCGAGGAGATGCTGATGAGGGCTTCCCCAAGTGGTTCAACTGCAGGGGCCCTTCTCCAGCGAGTTCACAGTGCCCCCTTCTCCCCTCCCCCCCCTTCAGGCAGGCCCACAATACAACAATTGACGATCTCAAACCTGCAGGCGCTCGGTGGTGAGCTTCCGCCGGCCTCGTCGGATGAGAAGACGTCTTTCCAGCGCCTTCTGCAACGCTCACAAAACCTTTCGGACCGCTCCAGCACCAGCAGTGGCGCCCGGTACGGTTTTTCCAGGCCCGCCGGCTCTTCGAGATGCCCTGTTTCCAGGCAGGGAAAGAGCCACACAGACACAGTGAATCGTCGATCCCCAGGAAAACTATGGGAAAAGATGGGACGGGAGGGGGAAGACGAACACCCAGAAAACATGGAAACGTACGGGAATCCTTGGATTTGTGTCCATTCATTTGTGTGCCCTTGGGCCCGTTCATAGTTTTTCTCATCCGATTTGGTCCTCATCCTGCCTTCGTCTTACCTCGCGACCTCATCTCGGAAGGGGCAAAGAGTATATCGAGGCCACACACGCGTCGTCTTTCCGCTGTGCGTGTTGCTCCTTCGGCTCTCGCACCCAACAACCACTTGACTCCTTCTCCAGCAACGCGCCGATGGGGTCGTCCGGCCGGCGTAGCACTGATGCCGTGCTTGCCTTCCCGCTCACGGGGCCGCACACGGTCCGACTCGATGCGATTCGATTCGCCGGCTGGGGCCGCGATTCCGATTCGAGTCGATGCATTGGCGTCGGCCCAGGCGAGCGGGAGCCAGGGGCTGCGTTACGGTTTCTTGTCGATCTCGGACGACGAAATCTATACATATCCATTGCCCCCCTGACCTGGGCCCAGGAGCTCTGTATGCGCCCTCCTGGCCAAGTCAGGATGGCGTGGCGTATGCACTGCTGCTAGGTTCAGGACGGGCCTGGCCGGGAGCCGTGTATATGTGCAGATTATGTCGCCCTACGATTCAGGTCGGTTCGTTGGCGATCCGATCGGTTTCCCATCCGATCCGACTTCGTGATTCTAGGGGAACGAAGGATGACATAACCATAAAAACTCGGAGATCCGCGCGGATTTCTCAGATCGGCGTTGGATGGGAAACCGATCGGATCGCCAGCGAACCGCCCTGAGTCGCAGGGCGACAAAATCTGCACACGTCCACGGCTCCCCGGCCAGGCCCGTCCTGAACCTAGCAGGCCCGATCCGATTTCGTGATTCTGAACCTAGCAGGCCCGACCCGATCCTGAACCTAGCAGGCCCGATCCGATCCTGAACCTAGCAGGCCCGATCCGATTCGGTCCAGCGCAGGCCCGATCTCGTCCTCGGGAGGTGGCAGCGGTCCTCCGCGCCCCCCTTCTGCAGGAGGAGGACCTGCAGAGCCTGCGGGCCGAGCTCCAGTTCACGGAGGCGGAGGCCCGGGGGCCTCGAAGCGGCTGGCCCCCCTTTCGGGTGTTGCCAGACTTGGGGAACGGAGAACGACACAAACAGAAGTCGGAGGTCCGCGCGGACCTCCGAGCTTTTCTGTCTATGTCATTCTTCGTTCCCCTATAGAAGTGCCCTGGGCCCAAGGTGCCCCCAGGATTCCCCGTGAGGCCCCCACGGCCTCCAGAGCATCCGTCACGAGGCCAAGAGGGCCCCAGGGGCTCCAAAATGTGGCGAAAAGCTGAGGGCACTTTGGGCCAGGGGCACCTCTACAACCCCTGGTCGTTCCTGCTTTTTCTCTTTCGCCTTCCGGGATCCTCCTCCATCCTCCTCCTTCGCCTCCTCATTGTTCCATCCCTTTACCTTATAAGGAACTTCTCCCTGTCGCACACCTGGACGTCGGTAGGCCGGGCCGGGCGTTTCGCCTGAGTTGTTTTCGCCGTTGATTGTCTTGGAGTTTGAAATTTGCAACAGTGTCAAGGATGGAACATCGGTCGTTTTCAAAATGGAGCTCTCGTTTTAGCGCCGCTTATAAGCGTTTTAGATGTTTGCAGCCGCCGTAAGGATGGATACTAGTTCCTTTTCAAAATGGGGCTCTCGCTGTAGCGTCGCGCAAATTCGTCCTAAAAGCTTGCAACAGCTTCAAGGGATCACAGGGTGGAAGTCCCAGGGTTGGTGCTCTGGTACGACTTAGGGTTGTCAGGACGCAACAGTCACGTGATTCACGGTATTGAAGTCCGTAGACGGTGCTCTGGAATGTTCTAGGATTGCCAGGACGCAACAGTTACGTTCATTCGCGGCGTTGAATTCTCAAGACTTGTATTTTTTTGTGGCAGGATTGCAGGCACTCCAACGCTTGTCTTTCAAGGTGGCACTTTCCGCAAGGTATTAGTTGCAACATCGTTGACGCGTATTTGGTTTACACTGGTTTTTCTGGCCTTTTTATGATCTTGAAGCATGAGCTTAGCAACAGCTTCAATGATGTAACGGGTGGTTTCTAGAAAGAGGCCCTCGATGTAGCGCCGTGCACATTCGCTTGAAAAGGCTTGCAGCATTTACAAAGATGGACGGGGCCGCTTTCAGCATGGAGCTCTCGCCCTAGCGCCGCGCATAACGTTTATGTATACATGCATAAAGGATTTGTAGCAGTGAGAGGGATGGAGGGGGGCTGGTTTCAAAATGGGGCTTTCGCATTAGCGTCGCATACATTTGTTTTGAAAGTTTGAAGCAGCTCTCAGGATGGAAGGGGTAGTTTTTGGCATAGATCACTCGTCCTGGTGCCGCGCACATTCGTGTGAAAAGTCTGCAACAGTTTCAAACATGGAGGGCGGCTCATTTTCGAAATAGGGTTCTCACCTCAGCATCGTGCGCATTCGTCGCACAAACTTGCAACAGTTACAAGGATGCATTGCGGGTCGTTTTGAACATAGGGCTCTCGCCTTAGCGCCGTGCACATTCGTCTTATCATCTTGCAGCAGCTACTACCAAGGATTGAGGATGGCGCCTCTTCAAATTGCAAATCCCACACGTGGACTGCGTTTTGGCATTGTCTTTGGATCATATGGGAAGCACCTTCGCATCATATTGGGGCCATGGAGCTGTGTCATGGGACTGTTCAGGCCACCCTGGGGCCGCCTGGGGGCCGCCGCGTGTTCATTGGAGAATCTCGGGGTGCCTTGGGGTTGCCCTGCGGCCATCTGGAAGACACGATGAGACCATGTGCGGATCATGTTGAGGACGTTGCCGGGTCGTTTTGAGGCCACTTTGATACCGTGCCGAGGTTGTAGAGCTGCCTTGGCATCGTTTTGGGTCGTCTGGAGGTCTTGCGCGTTTCCAAGGAAGCTCTTGTTGCGGCCAAGTAGGCTTTGCCTGATTGGTTTCTACTTGCTTGTGAAAGAAGCCGGCGGGTGTGGGGTCCTCCGTCCCCGTCGTTCCTCGGGGTTCCTTGGGGTTCCTCGGCGTTGTTCCTCGGCGTCGCTTGGCAATGGCGGCCCCCGGCGTTGCTCGGGTTTCCTCGGCCTTGCCTGGCAATGCAAAGCAATACAAAGCAATACGAAGCAGTGCAAAGTAGTGCGCCGAGCAATGCAAAGGAACGCCAAGCAACGCGAAGCAACGCCAAGCAATGCTAAGGAATCCAAAGCAATGCCAATACTGGCAAAGCAATGCAAAGCAAAGCAAACCAATGCCAAGCAGTTCAAAGCAATTCCAAGCAATGCAAAGCAAAAGCAAGCATCGCCAAGCACGAATCAATGCCAAGTGACGCCAACAAAGCCAGCCAATGCCAAGCAATGCCAGGCAACGCCAAGCAATGCAATGCAAAGCAATGCGAAGCAATGGCAATAATTGCAAAGCAATGCCCGGCAATGTAATGCAAGGCAAAGCAATGCAAACCAATGGCAAGCATTGCAAAACAATCAATGCACCGCAAAGCCAAGCAATGCTTTGTATCGCATAGTTTTGCACTGCTCAGGCCTGCTGTGAACTGCGGTGGAAGAAAGAAGACCCCTGCTTGGGGTGACCTTTTTCTGGGGGTTAGGGGTTTTGCGCGTCTGGTTTGTTCCCTTGCTTTGTCTGAGCTTTCGTTTTGAGCAGAGCAAGTGTTGCTCCTCCTCCTCCTCTTTCCTTCTTCCGCGTACTCTTGGCAGGCCTTGTTTCTCCGGGTGGTGTCCCTCCTTTCTTCTTCCGCCTCCTCCCCCTTCGCTGCCGCCTCTCGTCCGCCGCCCCCACCCTGTTTCTCGCCGCCTCGTCGTTTCCTCTTCGCCTCCTCTGTGCTAACTCCTCGCTTCCCCTCCCTGAGCGCTGCCAACTGCGCAACCGTAAGCACTATCGCGCGCTCCTGAGAGGTCAGCGGACTGACGCAATGCGCAGATCCAAACTACTGCTCCCGCCTCGGGGCGCCGCCAACTGTTCAACGGTTGACACTTTGGTGGGCTCTTGGGAGGTTCAGCGGAATGGCTCACTACACCTACAGTCGAGGCGCTGAAGATGGAACCCTTTTCGTTGGGGAGGGGCTCGGTGTTCCTTGATTGTTTCACAGCTTGCCTCAGGTTTTCCTTATGTTTTCGATGGGAAATCGGAGTTTAACTTGTGGAAAAACGGGGCCTCGTTCCTTATTTAGGGTTCCTTAGGTCAACGCCCCGACTGTATTCAAGTTAGATTATTTAATCGCTTCGCTCATGCCGCCGGCCCTGGAGCCCTCTTTAGGGCCTCTTGGGGGCCTCTTGGGGACCTCTTGGGAGTCTCTTGGGGCTCCTTGGCGGCGTTTTGGAGGCCCCCAGGGCCTCTTGGGGGGCTCTTGGGGGTAGTCGATTGCGGCTCCCCCCTCGGAGGCCACGATCCTCGTGAGGGGTGTCGAAAAATACCCTCCCCTGGAGTGGTCTGGTGGCTTCTCCCGGGCTTCTCTCGGGACCTTGCCGGGGTACTTTTCGTCCGGAGGCCCCCAGGGGCCGCTCCGCGCGCGCGAACTAGAAATATTGTTAACAAGTTACCGGAGATCTTAGCACGCCTCTGGCCCGTTGGGCCGGCGAATTCCTTCCTGGGCGATGTCAATCGCACGAGTGTCGGCATCCACCTGAGCTCCTGGGAGATCCAGCGGAGTAATGCGCTACGCAGATCCGAAATATGACTCCCTTCCTTGTCCGCTGCGAGCTGCGCAAGCGCTGGCACTGTCGTGAGCTCCTAGGAGGTCCAGCGGAGTGGCGCGCTACGCGGATCCACACTCTTACTCTTCCCCCTTTCCAAGGAGAAGAAACGCCATAAACATAAACTTGTGGCGCTCTGCGCGGATTTCTCGGATTCGCGCTGGACCCCCCGGCAGCGCTTCCGGCGCCGCCCCTGGCGCGCTCCGCGCGCCAGGGAGGGGGGTCCAGCGCAGATCCAAGAAATCCGCGCGGAGCGCCAAAAGTTAATGTTTATGGCGTTGTGTCTTCTTCTTCTTCTTCTTCTTCTTCTTCTTCTTCTTCTTCTTCTTCTTCTTCTTCTTTTTCTACCCTTGGCGTTGCCCGCTGCTCAGCTGACGACAGTTTCGTGAGCTCTGTGGCGGTCCAGCGGGGCGGCGAGCCATGCAGGTCTCGGCGGCGAAACCCGAGCCCTGCCCTCGCCAGTCGTCGATTCGGGCAACTCGACGGGCGACGGGGGTACAGTCGGGTCGCTGAAGAAGGAACCCTTTTCGTTGGGGAGGGGCTCCGTGTTCCTTAGTGTTTCACAGCTTGCCTCAGGTGTTCCTGGTGTTTTCGACGGGAAATCGAAGTTTGACCCATGGAAAAACGGGGCCTCGTTCCTTATTTAGGGTTCCTCAGGTCAACGCCCCGACTGTAGGGTTAAGTCGGGCCTGTCCCTCCACAGGGGGAATGTTCAAAAATAGCAAAAACATAAGTTGGGGACTGTTGTTTGAGCATTTTTGACAGTGTTCTGGGTTTTGTTTGACAGCTTTTTTTTTCGCCCACAATCGGCCTGTAGGGGGACAGGCCCGGCTCAAGGGTAGGGTTCGGAATTCGTCGAGCACACGGCAGAATCCGAACCCTGCCCCCGCGTCCCATCGATGCAGAATAACCAATTGTTGGTGGGTGTAAGGTGCAGGCGTCGCCACTCGAGATCCGAGCTAGGCCTCGCCTCCCCGGGCGCTGCCAACTGCCCCATTGTTGGCTTTCCCGTGGGCTCGTGCGGGGTCCAACGCTGTGACGCCTTGCGCCTGCAGTCAGCTCTCCTTCGGCGTCGCCTGGCATGACTAGCAGCACGGTGCGCGCTCGTTCAGATGTTCATTCGTACAGTCGGCCCGGATTAGTAGGTCAACCCTGCCAAATCAAGGATGCTTTTGTGTCCTATGCATCGCGCGGCGTGTTCTATGCAGTCCTGGAAAGAGGCCATGTTGGAGGCCATGTTGCAGGCACCCTTGTTGGAGGCCATGTTGCCGTCGGAAGAGTCTTGTGTCCTGTCGCGTGTCCTGTGCAATACATTCTGTCTGTATTGGATGTTTGTTGCATGCAGGTTGGGGAAGTCCGTTTTTCTGAGCGCTCTGTTTTTGTGCTGGAGCATGGTTGAGGCGGCAATCCTACAACCCTCCGCGAAACTCAAAGCAAGTTTCGCCGACCCCCACTCGCCCCGGATACCGACGAAAACTTTGAGTTCGTTCGTTCCGGTATCAACATTGAAATTTTGGGGTCTGAAGGTGCCGACGCGGCGCGGGAAGAAAATGCTGCAAGTTTCGCGGAGGGAGGGGTCCTGGTCCGCGAAAGTATTAGTAAGGATTTGCGCTCTTCAAGGGAATCCAACTCTTGATGTCTATGGCTGCACCAAGGTGGACCAGTTCCGGCAGGTCTTTCGCACGTACGCCAGGAAAGACAATATTGGAGGCTCATGCCATTCCGCATGCCCCTGGTTTCTTATCGAGGCAGGTGGTACACACCATGTGCTAGTCAGCGTGAATCCCAAGTAGTGGGCTCTTGCACTCTCGATGTACAAACTGTGCGGTGCAGCCTATGCGGTGCAATATTTGCAGTGCAATTCATTTGTTCCAACGTATAGGTGAAATGTGTGGGCTGCAGTGTGGCACAATGTGAACGTGATGCCGTCTATGTGATGCAATATATGTGGTGCTTCTTGGAGGCCTCTTTGGGACCTCGTAGGGTCGTCTTGGGAGCCTCCTGAGGGCTTCTTGGGAGCCTCGGGGACCCAGGGGGCGTCTTGCGGGCACGCTGGCTGTCTCGGGGGCACTTGGGGTGGGGATCTCCGAATTGCAGTTCGAGTTCGTGGTCTTGGGCCCCTCATGGGACCTCTTGGGGGCATCTTGGGTCCTGTTGGGGGCCTCTCTTTAGATTGGAAAGCGAGGATGCGAACATCATGCCCAAACCCTAAACCTATTGTTTTTAAGTGATGCTGGTATCTTCGGCCCTAAACGGGCCAAGAGGCCCACAAGATAGCCCCAGGACGGTCTCTCGGGGCAGTGTTACAGCATTTTGGAAGTTGAGGCCCGCGGCCACGCTCTCAGGACCACGGGGAAAGTCACGCGCGAAGCTCCGAGATGGTCCAGAAGCGCCTAGGACCGCGCCCAGAACACGGGGTCGGCGCCCCTTGAAGAGCATTTAGCATTCGGGTCTTGCTAGAAGTGCCCCTGGCCCAAGGTGCCCCTAGGATTTCCAAGGAGGCCCCCACGGCCTCCAGACCACACCTCACGAGGCCCAGGAGGCCCCAGGGGCTTCAAAATTGAGCACAAAGCTGGAGGCACCTTTGGCCAGGGGTACCCCTAGCATCCCCTAACAACCCCCGAACAATATTCCACTCTGTGCCTCGCAGAACGGTGGCTGATCTGGTCCTGTGGGGTGCTCTCAATGCCCTCCAATTTTGCCACTGATGAGTTGTCAACTCCAATGCTCGTGCAAGCGTCTCACCCTCCCACCCTCAACCCGTTCTGCAACACAGTCGGGCACGATTGCGGTTGCCGGCTGGAAGTTGCTAGCGTTCCTCCTGCGGCCGCAATGGCGCGCGGACGCTCCCGCGCAGATCGACCAGCTCGGTTGACGCCCCTGATGCAGCCGCGATGGTGCTTACAGTCGGGGCGCTGAGGAAGGAACCCATTTCGTGTGGGAGGGGCTCAGTGTTCCTTGGCTGGTTTGCAGCTCGCCTTAGGTTTTCCTCAGGTCTTCGATCGGAATTCGAAGCTCAACTTATGGAAAAAGGGGCCTCGTTCCTTATTTAGGGTTCCATAGGTCAACGCCCCGACTGTACAGTTAGAAGCTTCCCAGCGCGTCTCCACGGTCGTGCTGGCGCGCGGGCGCTTCAGTGCGGATCGGTGACTCGGGCGGGGGGCGATCACGAGAACATCGAAAACGGTGACAACCATGATGATAATAGCAATATCAGAGAATGGATGGATTCGGTTTGTGTTCGGGATTCGGTTTTCTGCTACGTTATGGGGCCAAGGGGGCCAGGCGGAAAGCGACGACGACGACGACGAGGGCGACGAGGAGCCCCCTTGGCCCCATAACATAGCAGAAAACCGAATCCCGAACACAAACCGAATCCATCCATTCTCTGATAATGTTGGTGGTGGTAGCGATGACGGCGATAACGATGGCAAGGCCAATGATGGCGCCGATGGTGGTGACGACGATGACGATGATGATGCCCGTGCGCCGGTGATGGTGATGGTTGTGCTGATGATGGCGGCACTGGTGCCGATTGGTGATGGCGATGCTGGTGGTAATGCGACGGCGCGGATGAGAGCGATGAGGAAATGCGCGCGCGCAGACAGTCAACAAAAGCTGTCATATTTCTTATGGGAGACAATGTCGTATGTCGTCTGCAGCGGGGGCCCATGCCAAGAAACACTCTGCTTGCCTCCAGGGTGCCCTGGGTTTCTTGGGTTCCCGTGGTTTTGCCATGGAAAGCGCGACGTTCTCACACCAAAAATCACTGGACATCCTGGGGTCTCAGGGTTGGGTTTCTTGTGGAAGATTTCTTATGCAAGGGCCCCTCCTGTACCCTGAAATGCCTCGAACACCAACTGTTTTGGAAGGATTTCGACGCGCGCGTGGCGGCGTGCGCATGTGGCCCGCATTGCATTGTGTGATACGGATCCATGCAGTGGGCGCGTGCTAGATAGAGTAACGCGAACGCACCGCCTGGTGAGACGAGAATGCGGGTCCGTACAGTGGAAGCCCATGCCAAGAAACACCCTGCTTGCCTCCAGGGTGCCCTGGGTTTCCTGGGTTCTGGTGGTTTTGCCACGGAAAGCGTGACGTTCCCACACCAAAAATCAATGGACGTCCTCGGGTCTCAGGGTTGGGTTTCTTGTGGAATGTTTCTTGTGGTCGGACCCCAGCTGAACGAGATTTCTGAATTCCGGTGATTTTCACATGATTTCAGGAAGTGCGACAGTTTTGGTGCGGCATGCAATGCGAATGGAATGTGAAGGGTTTTCATGCTGAGCTGATTGAAGAATTGTTGTGTCTAGTATAGCTTCGATATGTGCGCGCATGTTTGCTTTGTGGCTGTTTTTGCAAGGGGCCCTCGCGAATACATATGTGTGTGTGTGTGTGAATACCGCCCCCCCTGGCCCCCCACACCTCCCCGCCACATCTCGGGAACGCTCCTGGTACCGCTCTCCCGGCCTTTCCGGTGAGCCTCCACAGCGCTCCAGGAGGGCCCAAGACGCCTCCCAGGAGCCCCCAGAATGCGAAAGGATGGCCCAAGACGCTCCCAAGCAGTCCAAGTCAGCCTTCCGACGGCTCTCCAGGCTCCCAGATGACCTCCAAGAGACCCCAAGAGAGGTCCGAGAGGCGTCCTGGGACGGCCCAAAGAGGCCAACATCGTTGATTTTGAATGGTTTTTTCGCTGTTTTTGGCCTTCTCGCGCGCGTTTTCGAGCTTTCCGCGCTCCAAGAACGCCGAAGAGCCGCCCAAGACCGCCCCAAGACCACCCAAGTGACCCTCAAAACGACCCCAAGACGGGCCAAGAAGGCTCCAAGACTGCCGAAGAGGCGCCCAGGACAGGCCCAGACTACCCCAGAACAGGCCCAAGATGGGCCCAAGAGCGGGAGCAGGAGCTTTCCAGAGACCTCCGAGAGGCCTCCGGCACCCCCCAGAGGCCCCCAACACCCCCGATCCCTCAGAGGCCCCAAAAAGACCCCGACGAGGCTCCAAGAACAGCCCAAGAGAGCTGCGAGAGCCGTCCCGAGAGAGCCCAAAGAGGGTAAAATCGTTGATTTCCAATCGTTTTTCCAATGTTTTTCGCCTTCACTTTTTCCCGCTTCCAACCCTCGAAGACCGAGGATTTTGAAACAACATGGAATCCCCAGTTTTTTTTCAAAATCTTACTCGGAGGTCCTACACATCCCCTGACATCTGGCTGGTACCGCGCCGCCCGGCTTCCCAGAGGGCACCCAAGACGCCCAAGGACAGCCCAAGACGACCCCAAGGAGCCCCAAGAACGTAAAGAACGGCCCAACACGCTCCTGCGCAGCCCGAGACACCCTTCCGACGGCTCTCCAGGCCTCCAGGAGGCCTCCAGAATCCCCAGGGGGTCTGGAAGATCCCACACCCCTGAGGGGCCCCGCTAACAAAACCCGCGAGGCACAAACAAAAAACAGCGCCGAACAGCGCCGATGAACTGGAAAACCATGAAAATCCCACAATTCCTTTTTTTCAGGTTTGGCCCCCTGTCTACTCTTGCACAACAGACCGCAATTCAGACCCCCCTCACCCTCCAAAAAAGAACCCAGGAAGCCTTTGAGGGCCCCAAATCGTTGAGTACCTGAAGGAAATCAACGATTTCTGCGTTTCCGCACTTCCCCTTCTATACGATTCCGAGGCTTGCGCAGGGCCTCCAAGAGAGTCCCTGGTCGCAAGAAGCGACCAAAGCGCGACGGTTTTTGTTTTGTTTTGTTTGTTTCTCTCTCTCTATATATATATATACATACATTGCTATATTGAGATAAACGAGTTCGCGCGCATAGCAGTACTTGTCTTGACACGGATGGCGAGGTGTATCGATACCAGTTTTGGTGGAGTGGCTCGGTCTCAGATGGAAACGAGCGACGAGGCAGAGTCATGCATACATTGCAATATAAAGAGGTGTATTGCTAAGCCAGGGCTCGAGATGATGATTTCGTTCTTGTTTTGAAACAGAGAACTAACCAGGTCAATCATGAGTTGTCAACTCCACTGCTGGCGCAAACATCCAACCTTCCCACCCGCAACTTGGCGAAGCTATGTGGATACGATTGCGGCTGCAGTGTGGAACTTCTAGCGCATCTCTACGGCCGCACTGGCGCGCTACCGCTCACGCGCGTAGGACGACCAATTGGTTTGGCACACTTGGGGCGGCTGCGATGGCGCTTGCCGATGGGACATTCCCAGGGCGTCTCAAAAGCCGCGCTGGTACGCGGGCGCTTCAGTACGGGTCGGTGCGCATGGCAGCGCGCCTGTGTGGCCCGCATGGTACTACTTGATACGGGCTGATGCATTGGGCACACGCCAGTTCAACACGGACGCAACTTATATGATTATAGCTCGTGCGGGCGGGCAGGATTTTTGCAAGATATTTGGTGGAGTGCCACGCGGTATTTTGGTTTGCCAGTATGTTGAAGCGCTTGCGTACTTAATGTGTTGGAATGATTTCGACATGCGCGCGTCTGGATTCTTGTGCAAGGGGGTTATTGAATCGCTTCGTTCATCCCGCTGGCCCATATTGTCGCACCGATGTCGATTGCCCGAGTGATCATTATCAATGCGGTGCGGCTGGGCGGGGACTGTTTTCCTAAGGGGGTGCGTGGGGTGCGTTCGCGGTGACGCAGTTACTGTGTAGTTGGTTTCGGAGATTCGTCCCAGGCTCCTGTGATGTTGTCTGGGTAATCGTTTTTGACAGGCTTGTTGGGGTTTCTGGGTAGGCCTCGTGACAGCATTTTGGGGCCTCTTGGGAGCCTTTGGGGGTTCCTTTGATGCATTGTGGGGGCCTCTTGGGGGCCTCTTGGGGCCTCCTGGGGGCATCTTGGGGCAGAAAGCTCGAAATGTCCGTTCGGGTGCGCAATCTCGGCCCTCTCTTGGAGCCGTCTTGGAGGCCTCTTGGCCCGTCTTGGAGGCTGCTTGGGCAATCTTGGGGCCCTCTTCGAAAGCTCTTGAGTCGTTTTGGGGCGGTCTTGGGAGCGGTTTGGGCCGTCTGGAAGCGTCGGGAAGCTTAAAAGGCGAGAACGCCGAAATCCTTCAAAATTTGATGGAACATCAATGATTTTTGTTTCTCTTGGGGCGTGTTGGGGGCATCTTGGGCCATCTTGAGGCCACCTGAGGCCGCGCTCTTGGCCTCGGGCCGTGTGGCCTGCCACATATTTGGCGGCTCCTTGAACCGCTCCTGGATCGCTCCGGAGGCCCCCATGGCCGCGCCCAAGAGATCCAGCATTTTTGATGGAACCTTGCTGGGGATCTGCCAGGACCTTCCGAGGGTACTTTTCGCTCTTGGATCCCCCAGAGGCCGCTACGCGCGCGTGAACTAGAGTATTGTAAAGTATTGTTAATTTGTTGATCTTAGCACTCCTCTGGCCCGCTGGGCCAGCGAATTGAAGATATAGTTTGAGATAACCCTGCGCGGGTGGCATTGTTTGACATGGATGGCGGGGGGGACCGATTCCAGCCTGGCTAGGATGATACGGTTTAATATGTCATATGAGTGACCGTGCACACTAAACATGAAAACCTAGCATGCGGAAGGCTACCGATAAGTCTGGGTTCGGGAGGGGGTCCTGTTTGTTTTTGAAAGGAGAAGATGTGCAATCGGTACGAGGTGGTCGAGGCGGTCGCGAGCGGTGACATGCCAGAAATTAGGAGCCGCCAGCCAGCGCACGAGGCGGCCACGGAAGGTGACCGGCCAAAAGCCCGAAACCGCTAGCCAGTTATTTGTGAAACGAATTCTTCCTTAGCGCAAGCCTTCTTTGATGATTTGTTCGAATGGGTTGATCCCTTCACCTATCTGATGCTTGCATACACATCTGTCTGCTGTAGAAATCATTCAGTACAGAACGAGGTTGTGCGACAATGCGGCAGCGAGGTCCGCATCCGCCGACAATACTCTCGCGACGAGGTTAATTTGCCCTGTTATGCTGACGTTCAAAGTTCTTTCTTCGAACCGTGCCATCGATCCATGTCTCCGATCCATCCACGGCCATGGAAATCGGTGTGGACACAGCTCAGCCATGGCGAGCTGGGCGTGTGGCAACATCCTCCCTTCCTCTCTCTCCCTCCCCCCCCTCCTCCTCATCCATGGCCATCCCATTTCCTTTCTTCCTCCTCCATCCCCCTCCTCCTCCTCCTCCTCCTCCTCCTCCTCCTCCATCCTCCTCCTCCTCCTCCTCCTCCTCCTCCTCCTCCGCCTCCTCCTCCTCCTCCGCGTCCTCCTTCTCCATCCTCCTCCTCTTCCATGCGCATGGTGCACGTGCTTCTGCCGACGCGCTGGTCAAGCGGCTCACGTGGGGAGCTCGCCTCGGCCCGCGCGGACCACGCGGCGATCATGCACGCGCTCTGGGACGAGGCGGCGGTCCAGCGGCTGGTCGCCGTGGACCCTGCGCTCGCCTCGTTTCTGCGATGGCTGCGCCCCGTGCCCGTGGACAAGCTGCGCAGGGACGGGGCCTTCCACTCGGTTCCCGAACGAATTGAAGCCCACCCCCCCTTGAAATCGTGGGGTGCTGGGGTAGGGTTCGCATGTGGCCTCCTATCCACGCTGTGGCCTCCGGAGTAGACGCGGCGCGCGCCGGTCCGCGCCGGCTACGCGCGGCAGGGAGGGGTCCGCGCCTCGCAGGCCGCCCAGAAGAGCCGTCGGAATCAAGCTCTTTGCGCAGTGAGGTCAGGCAGAGGTCGAGATCTGCTACGCCTAAGTCGGGTCTGTCCCTCTACAGGAGGGATATGCAAAAACAGTCAAAAAATGATCTTGGGACGATCTTTTGACTATTTTTGATTATTTGGGCTTATTTCTGCGACTATTTTTTGAATTTTCGTCCAAACTTCGCCTGTAAGAGGACACACCCAACCTAATGCTACGCCGGGACTGCACGCAGGCTTCCCGTGTTCGAGCCAGAGGTCGTCGGCGCGACGGTGTGGAACGTGGAGGCCCCCTGTTTCTCGCTGGGTGCGGACCAGCACTTCTTCGCCCCCTGGTCGCGCGACGTCGACGCGATGCTGCAGCAGCAGCCCGTACTGGCTGGTCCTGCTCGTGCGGATCTTCCTGTGCGTGCGGATCGTGGGGCGGGTTCTATTGTGCGTGCAGGTCTTCTTGGCCGTACGAACCGTGGCGCTGCCCGTCCTGTTGGTGCGGATCTGCTTGACCGTTGGGGGGGGCCGCTCTGTGCGGGCCTGCGGAGCTGCCGGTGCGTGCGGATTTTCTCGTGCGTGCGGAGCTTCACGCGGCCGCGCCCCTGTCCTCTGGCTGGCCATGGCGACAGGCGACAGGTCGCTTCGCCGCGGGAGGGTTGTCTGCGCGTCCTCTCGCTTGCGATGTCCTCGGCCGCGCCCTCGTTCTCGAGTCCTCTGCCATGTCGACCAGTCGCGCGGTCGCCCCAGAGGCGGGGCACAGCGGGGGGGAACAAAAAGGCGCCATGCTGCAATGTTTGGGCGGTAGGCGGCGCGGCCAGTGAGGCACGTTTAGGTCGGGCATGTCCCCCTACGGGCGAATTTTGGACGAAAAATAGAATTTGTCGAAACATATTCAAAAACATGTACAAACAGTCGAAAAAATAGTCCCCTGACTATTTTTTACTACTTTTGAGTATTCCTCCTGTAGAGGGATGTGCCCGACTTAACGGTACGTAACCTTGGTGTCCTCTCCGGGTGGGTGTGCGCCACCCTTCGCGAGGCTGCAGGTCGGCCGCGGGTGACCGCGGTCGCGGCCTCGGCAGGGTGCCCTTGTGTTCTGTGGCTTTTGGAGGCCATGTTGCTGTCGGACGCGTACTGTGGCTCGTCGCGCGCCTTGTGCAATTAGCCCCGCCAGTAATGGATAAGCAAGACGTGCACTTCCCCCTCCTGCCCCTACCATTGAAGCGAGGAAGGGAGGGGATGGCAAGAGAGGAAGGCGCGGGAAGATGGGGAGAGGAGGAAGAAGATGTTGAGTATGTTGAGGATATTGAGGAGGAGGAGCAGGAGAAGGAGGAGGAGCAGGAGGAGGAGAGGGATGAGGAGGGTGAGAGAGGAGGGAGTAGAGGGGAATGGCGGAGGGGGGCGAGGAGGAGCATGGAACATGTAAAATGGATTGGCCTGCCTCCAGAGAGGCAGGCTCAGAACGAGAAGTGTGAACACAGGGTAAGAGCGCGCGTGTTGGGCGGCCCCGCAAGCCCGCGCTGCCGCCTCGGACAGCCCGCAGAAGATGTAGCAATAGGCTGGAATCTGAACCTGTGTCAACCTCACCCGCCCATTATCAAGCCCAACCAGCATGCGTTGCTGGAGTCACATACGAGCTCACTGGCCAGGAGAGAACCGGCCTCACACTGAACAGGCGGCATGCTTGAGGTTTCGGGACCCACGCGAGAGGGATATCCACGACACTCACGTCACCCAATTCGTGGTAAAGGTGGGGGGTGGCAGGAAAGACGGAGGAGGAGAAGCAGGAGGTGAAGGAGGAAACGGAGGAGGCGGAGGAGGAGGAGGAGGAGGAGGAGGAGGGAAAGGAGGAACATGAGAAGGAGGAGGAGGCGAAGGAAAAGGAGGAACGAGGAGGAAGAGGGATGATGTGGTGCAGGAGGCGAGGAGGGGGAGGACGGATCACGAAGTTGGGGGGAGAGGTAATGAAGAGAGGTGCGTCTTCCCAGACAAAGTAAAGTACTTGCAAAGCGGGTTCCGCGGATGTTATCACTATCGCTTCGACTCGTATTTTGCAGCATGATGCGATCAAGCGCTTGATCGCGTCGTTGGGCGTGAAGTTCTCTTGGAATCTGTCCGAGGTGCTAGAGCGGAAGCTCAAGTCTCTCGACGATCGCATGGTCATCGATTTCTTCAACTTTCTTCGATTGATGCGTTGGCTCCTTGACACCAACTTTGGGTGCGTGAACGATTCGGTTGAGCAGCAGCTCGTGAAAGAGCGTAATACTGTCAGGCAGGTGTTCTCGGTGAAGGCATAAGAGTGGACTTTGCGAATCAGCGGCACCACTGAGCAGCAGTTCGTGAAGGAGTGGAAGACCGTCGGCCAGCTCGGCCTTGCGCTCTGGTAGAGGGCAGCTGGATGCTTTCACCTCCAGCAGCCGGCAACAGGGGGGAAGGGGCTGCGGGTGAGCTCCCCGACGCATGCCAGGTCTCGCTTCCATGGTCGTGTTGCCCAGCGTAGGCCTCTCAGTCGGTTGATGCCTTCTCGTCCCCTTTTCTGACCTCTTCGTTGTTGTGGTCCTCCTCGTCGCCCTCTTCTACTTCGCTTCCTCCTTCCTCCCTCCCCCCGTTCTCCCTCTCCATCGTCCCCCTCATCCTCATCATTTAACTTTTCCTTCCTCTCTCCCATTCCCTCCTCCCTCGCCTTTTTTCCTCCTGTTTTATCGGCCACGTGAATTGTAACGGCCAGGTAAGCAGTTCCCTGATAATTCCACCTCCATGCGAGCGCGCGCGTCCGAGACAGCTGACGCTGGCGATCGACCCGCCAAGCCTGCGCGGATATTTCTCGGTGGCGTTGTGACGGCCCGCAAAGCCATCAGCTTGGCCCTGGGGGCCCGTGCTTCAGGTCGTGTATATCCTTGTGCCGAGGAGGGTCTTTTGGTCTCCGCGGCCAGATTCCGGTCAATACTTTTATGTTCGGTGTGCCTGGGAGCGTTTCAGGTGTTGCCCTTTTTGCACGAGTCCGTGGTGGAGCTTGAGGCCGCTAGGGATTTGGTATCGCTCGGACGTGTGCACTTTTTCTCGGCGGGGATTATTAAGGAGCATCCTGGATCATCCTGCGGAAAAAAAACACGCACGAAACTGGAAAAAAAACAGGGAATGGACGTCCGAGCGACGGGGAGTGAAGTACTTCTTGATCTGAGCGCGTCTCTCCTTGCTCCCTCCTCCTCCTCCTCGGCCTCTCTCTCTCTCTCTCTTATTTTTCCAGCCGCGCATGCGCCCGATCTGCTAGTCAGTGGCCCGTTCTCGTCCGAACGCGGTGAGACCCACATCGCTGCGACCAAAAAAGTGTTCGGTAGGGGACTAGAGATTGGCTCTGAGCAGATTCGCTCATGAGGTTCGAAGGTCCCCCGAACAGAAAATATTAGATCCATGCTGGACATTTGTTTGTGACCTCCATTTGGGATGCTGGGTGCATTTCTTGGGAGCATGTGGTACTTGTGTTCCTGGATCTGGAACGTGTGGCATTAATTGGATCGCTTCGCTCACTCCGCCGGCCCGTATTGTGCCATCGCAGGCGTTTGCCTGCGCGTTCGTGGCCTTTTGGAGGCCGCTTGGGGGACCCTTGGAGCCTTTTGGGGGGCCTCTTGGCGGTATTTCTAAGACCTCCTGGGACGTCACGGGGGCCTCTTGGGTTCCTCTTGGGGGTCTCTCGGGGCCTCTCGGAGGCTTCTCGGGGGCTTCTTGGGGGCTTCTTGTGGCCTCTTGGGGGACCTCTCTGCGCCTAGAGCTCGAAATGTCTGTTCGGGTCCCCCGTCTGGGCCCGCTCTTGGAGCCGTTTTGAGATGATTTATTGTAGCGCCCTTCGTTCGAGGATTGAGGTTCGTTGGAGCAGAGTGGGGAGGGGGAGGAGGGGGAGGAGGGGAAGAGAAGGAGGAGGAGGAGGAGGAAGATGAGGAGGAGGAGGAGGAGGAGGAGGAGGAAGAGGAGGAAGAGGGGAGGATAAGGATGAGTAGGAGGCCTCTCGATTCCTGTCTGAGGAGAGGAAAGAAAGAAGGAAAGGTTGTTGAGGCGATAGGAGGCCTCTCGGGGGCCTCTTGGCGGTATTCCTGGGGCGTCCTGGGGCGTCACGTCGGCCTCTTGGGGGCATCTTGGGGGTCTCTTGGGACCTCTCGGGGGCCTCGTGAGGGCTTCTTGAGGGTTTCTCGAGGACTCGAAGGGATCTGTCCGTTCGGGTCCCTCGTCTGGGCCCGCTCTTGGAGCCGTCTGGGGAGCCTTTTCGGCAATCTTGGAAGCCTCTGGGGCTGTCTTGGGGCCCTCTGGGGCCGTTTGTGGCGTTCTTGGAGGCCTCTTGGGCCGTGTTGGGGCGATCCTGGAAGCCTCTAGGGCCGTCTTGGAGCGCCGGTAGGCCCAAGGCGAGAACGACAAAAACCTTCAAACTGAATGAAAATCGCTAAATTCTGCCTCTGTAGGCCCTCTTTGGAGGTCTCTTGGGGCCTCTCGGGGGCCTCTTGGGAGCTTTTGGGGGGCTTCTTGGGGCCTCCAGGGGGCCTCTCTGCTGCCCCTACAGCTCGACATGTCCGTTCGGGTCCCTCGTCTGGGCCCGCTCTTGGAGCCGTCTTGGGAGCCTCTTCGGCAATCTTGGAAGCCTCTGGGGCTGTCTTGGGGCCCCCTGGGGCCATTTTGGGTGCTCTCGGAGGCCTCTTGGGCCGTGTTGGGGCGATCCTGCAAGCCTCTATGGCCGTCTTGGAGCGCCGGTAAGCTCCCAAGGCGGGAACGCCAGAAATTTGTTTCTTCTGCAGGGAAATCACTATTTCTGTCTCTGTGGGTCCTCTTGGGAGGTCTCTTGGGGCCCCTTGGGGCTTCTTGGGAGTTTCTTGAAGGCCTCTTCGGGGGACCTCTCATGCGCCTAGAGCTCGACATGTCCGTTGGGGTCCCTCGTCTGGGCCCGCTCTTGGGGCAGTCTTGGGAGCCTCTGCGGCCATCTTGGAAGCCTCTTGGGCCATGTTGGGGCGATCCTGGAAGCTTCTTGTGCCGTCTTGGAGCGCTGGTAAGCCCCCAAGGCGAGAACGCCAAACACTTTCACAAACTGAAGGGAAACCACAGATTTCTGCCTCTGTGGGCCCTCTTGGGAGGTCTATTGGAGGCCTCGTGGGGCGTCTTGCAGGCGCTTTGGGCTGTCTGGTGGCCATCTTTGGCGTCTTGGATCGCTGTCGGGCCGCCTCGGGCCATGTTGAGCTCTCTTGGAGGCCAGTGGAAGCGCTTCTGGAACGCTCTTGGGAGTCTGCTGGGACCCGGCCGAGACTTGCACGGGACCTGCCCAGGACTTTGCCGGGATTTGCTGGGACCTTTCTGGGGTACTTTTCGTCTGGGGTTCTCCAGGGGCGGCTCCGCGCGCTCGAATTCGAAATATTGTTAACCAGTTACTGGAGATCTTGGCACGCACTTGGCCCGTTGGGCCGGCGAATTTTCCACATCTCCCGGAGAGTCGTTCTGTGTAGCGGCTCGCCTTTCTATCTGAGCGCAGGTATTGACACGTGTGACAGTTGCTTTCTGATGCCCGGAGGGCCGTGACATGTGACATCGGGGAGTTTGGGTTTCTCAGAGGCTGGCCAGAAGGCCCCCTGGAAGCTCCTTCGAGGGCCCTCTTGGGCTGATCACGAGTGAAGATTATACAACAGGTGAGGGCGGCGAGGATGGAGTGGAAATGGTGATGATGATTTTTGGAAAGTGAGGGTGTGAATGAACAGAACAAAAGGATAGTCAAGGGCGATGATGGTGAGGGCGAGGATAAGAGTAACGATGCGAGTGGTGCAGATGAAAGTGGGGGTGGATTGGTCGTGGTGACGCAGAGTGTGGGTGTGTTTTGCTGTTAGGGTGTGCTTGTATTCCTGCTCGGGGGAATACAGAAAACGATACATCCACTGTGCATGCTTGGGAAAATACGTAGTGCAGTTTCCCCGCATCCCGAAGGGGGCTATTGTCTTCTGAGATGTCAGGCGTCCCAGGATCCTTCTGGGAGCATCTTCGAGGACTCCCATCTTGGGTCTTGGGGAATTGTTTGGGATGTACTGCGGCCTCTTGGGGCGTGTATGATGATCTCGCCTGGAAGGCTCTTGGCGCCGTCTTAGGTTTTGATTGGTCGTCGTGAGGGTTTCTTGGCTGGCCTGGAGGCCTACGATAACGCCAGAGAGAATGCAGTGGGAGCTGGAGGGTCATGCGGCTATGGGGAGGCGAACGCCCCTGGAACAGTGCAGCAAACGGCAAGACCACATGGAGGGGTCTAAAGGCAAAGTCGGTCTTTCCTCACCTCCCTTTCCCCCCTCCTCATCCTCCTCTTCCTCCTGCTCATCCTCCTGGATTTGGGGGATCCAGCTCCGCTAAGACACCCGTGGTGGGCTCGGAGTAGATGGGGTGGGAGGATCGCGCCGCATCGCCGATGCGGCTCGACGTGGAGCCCGATTTGTTTTACGTCGACGTCGCCGATGCAACGCCGACGTCGACGATGCATCGCCGATGCATCGCCGATGTATCGCCGATGTATCGGCGATGCGGCGCGATTCTCCGACCCCATCTACTCCGACCCCATCTAGGAGGCCTCTATTCCCACCTCCCCCGCTCCATCCCTTCTCCCTCTCCTCGTCCAGAGGGCAACTTCAAGCAGCGAGCGGGAGCATGTTGGCCTCTTGTTGGTACTCGTCGCCGTCTCCGCCTCCCACTTGCCACGCCCTCCCCAGGGGGCTCCGCCTGGTTGGGTAAAGTCCGGTTTCGCGGCGTCTGGCCGCGCGTTCTGGTGATGCCGTTGCCGTAGACAGTGTTTATCAGCAGACGCTCTAGAAACCCGAAGGGGTTTGTCGCCCTGGAGGGCTTGCGGGGGCGTCTCTTTCAGGGCAGCCAAAGTCAAAGCGATATTGATATTCGACCTTCCCTTCTCGTGTTCCCTGCCTCTTGCCCCCCACCCTGAGGAAGGCGGAGGGAGGGAGAAAGGGGGGGGGGCGGGCGAACCTCAATATCGATGGAATTTAGGGCTGCTCTGAGTAGCTCAGCCGTGCGGCCAAGCCGATCGGCGACGCGCTCTCGCCTTTCTCCGCTTGCCTCGTGGATGGCTGCAGACCTCGGCTATCGGAGCGGTGAAGAAAGGGCGCACCACCTGGACCGCAGAGGAGCCTGGAAGGAAGGCACGGCGGCCACAGGTTGCCCTGTCCGATGTGGTTGCACGGGGGATCTTCGTGTACTCCAACTTTTATAACAAAGGGGGGGGGGTCACAAACCTCCCAGACGAGCCATTTTAGACCCCCCCCGTCTGGGGCGACCTCCATCAAAAAGTAGCCCCCCCCAGGACGTGCCAAGACGAGACGATCCAGACCCCCCCAAGAAGGCAACCTCGGCGAACAAAACGACAGACCCCCCCCAGGACCTCACCCAGTATGCACGGTGCTAATGTGGGTGCGTTTCAGCCAACTTCACACGCATCGCGAGTCTATCCTCAAGATCGCGCTTGCCCCCTGTGGAACGCCACGCACTGTCGCTATCGACCCCTGATGTAGGTCTGAGGCGTTCACGGTGAGGCTCGACTCTGGGTTCGCTTTCCTCTTCGTCCTGATCTGTAGCAAGCCCAGGATCAAGATAAATCTTGATAAACCTATCCAGAGAATTCCAGAACTTTCTGCAACGCTCTCAGTTTCCTAAGTGGCCGAAATATCACCACCAACACCAAAATCTAGGATCATCCTCACGCAGTGGACGCACCCCCCTGTTCTGGTCGGCGGCGCACTCAGGGGGGGAAGTGAGAAGGAGTAGGCCCTCTCAGAAGGCGGTGGGGCTTCTCAGAAGGCCTGCGGCCTTCCGAAAAGTTGCCTGTTTCCTCGGGGAAGGCTGAGATGCCTTCGCAGAAGGCCCGCGGCCTTCCGAGCCTTCTGAGATGGCACGCCCCGTCGACGATCCTCAGGACGTGTGTTTGCACCGCTCGGCTCCGCCTGTAGATCATTACATCGCCTGCGTCGTGTTGAAGGGCCTCAAAGGCTAAGTCGGGCCCGTCCCTCTGCAGGAGGAATATTCAAAAATAGTCTAAACATAGTCTGGGGACTATTTTCTAAAATATTGGTTGCCCATTTTGGAGCATTTTTTCGGGATTTTTTATTTTTCGTCGAGACTCCCCCGTGTAGGGGGACACGCCCGACTTGACTCACAGGGCAACACACACGCTGGCGCTAACACACGTTTTGAGACTCGTCGGCCCTGGGCTCGCCGCCGATCGCCGCCGCCGCTGCCCCCTCCCGCGCCGCCGGCGCCTCCCCCCCTCCGCGCCGGGCGGTCCCAGGCCTCGCCCGCCCGGGCCCCCCGAGCGCCCCGTGCCCGCCCCCACCCCGGGCCCCTGCGGGCCTCCTGGGAGCCTCCCTGCGGACCCCTGCGGACCCCTGCGGACCACCCGGGACACCCCTGCGGACCACTGCCCGCCCCCACCCCTTGGGACGCCCGAAATTCGTACGGAAAGAATGGGTACAGTGCCCAGCAGCAGTTCCTGTTCATTCTGAACAGGACTCGCTGTCGGTGTCGCCCGCGGCCTGTGCCCATGTGAACCAGAAGGCCGCCTGCCCAACAGCGGCCGCTGTTGGTTTGGGACAACGTTTGTTGTTGGGAATTGTACCCATTCTTTCCGTACCCATTTCGGGCGTCCAAAACCCCGGACTTTTGCTGGCCTCTTGGGAGCCTCCCTGCGTACACCCTCTCGGGTGATGAGGTTCCAACCTGCTTCAGCCTTGCTCGCCAGAAAATAATTTCGAGCACCAGGAAAGCACCCCTGGGACACCCCTCGGGTGATGATGTTCCAACCTGCTTCAGCCTTGCTCGCCAGAAAATAAATTCGAGCACCAGGAGAGCACCGAAACTTGAGGGTTTTCACGCGTCGGGCCCTGGGAGGCGATATTCGTTCGACACTGTTTCGACTTTTCTGGGTGCTCGGAATTATTTCTGGGATGTGGTCCTTAAGTACGATGGGAGCAATGTAACCCTTGGGGCATCCTGGGAGCTTCTTGGAAGCCTTTCGGAGGCCTCTTGGGAGCCTCCTGGTGCCTCTTCTGGGCATTTTGGGGGCTTCTCTAGGGCCTCTTTGGCCGTCTTAGAGCGTTCCTGGCCCGTCTGACGCCGTCCGAAGCAGTCTCGGATGCCTCTCTGAACCGACTTGGGGCCCTCTTGGGGCGCTTCAGGGCACTCTTGGAGGCCATCTAGGGCGTCTTGGAGGCCTCGTGGGCCGTCTTGAGGCCGTCTTGGAGGCTTCTGGGCCGTCAAGGGGTCATCTTGGAGGCCTCTCGGGCCGTCTTGGGACGACTTGTGGGGCCTCTTTGGCCGTCTGGGGTCGTCGGAAGGCCGAAAAAAAGCAAGAAGCAAAATCCATCAAAAACCTGATGGAGTCAATGATTTTGGCCTCTCCCAGCCCTCCTGGCGGACCTGTTGGAGGCCTCTTGGGCCGTCTTGGAGGCCTCTTGGAGGCCTCTGGGGCCGTCTTGGAGGCTTCTTGGGCGAACTTGGAGGCATCTAGGACTCTCTTGGGCCGTCTTGGAGGCCATTTTGGACCCTCTTGGGCGAACTTGGAGGCCATGTTGGCAGTGTTGGAGGCCATCTTGGACCATCTTGGAGCCATCTGGAGCAAGGAAAACGTTTGCAACCACCTCTCGAAGAGCTTTTCGGGTGGCTGGCGGCATCGGCCGAAGCCCCAGGGGGAGCTCTCTGGGACAAGAACTAAAAACAACCCTTCAGTACATCTAGCACGCCAGTCACCCCTGTGGCAAGCCAACAGAGGCGGAGGATCGAAGCCGCCTACGGCGAATCACCGCCGCCCCCTGCCCCTTTGGAAGCGCCTCTGTGGCCGACAGCTGGGCCAGAGCTTGGCCAAGCTATCGGGCCAGTTGTTTCCCGAGTCGGTTTGGAAAGACTTCGGGGAACGCGTGGGGGAGCAAGAAGAGGAGGAGGGGGAGGATGAGGAAAAAAGAGGAGGAGGAGGAGGAGAAAGAGGAGGGCGCCTCTTGGGGCACTCCTGGGCCTCCTGGGAGCTTCCGGGGGGCCTCTTGGAGGGTTCCTGATGGCCTTTGGGGGCTTCCGGGGGCCTCTTTGGCCGTCTTTAAGGCGTTCCTGGCTTGTCTGTCGCCGTCGGAAGCCGTCTTGGGGGCCTGTCTGGGTCGTCTTGGGGCCCTCATGGGGCATATCAGGGGTTCTTAGAGGCCATCTTGGGCGTCTTGGAGGCCTCTAGGGCGCTTCGGGGCCGTCTTGGAGGCCGTATTGGGCGTCTTGAAGGCCTCCTGGGCCGTCTTGGGGCCCTCTTGGGGCCGTCTTGGGGGCCTCGTGGGCCGTCATAGGGCCATCTTGGAGGCCTCGTGGGCGATCTTGGGGCGATCGTGGGGGCCTCTTGGGCCGTCTTGAGCCCTTAGAAGGCCGAAAAGAAATAAATGCCAAAATCCTTCAAAAACACAAGGGAAATCAATGATGTTGGCCTCCTCGGGCCCTCCTGGAGGAGCTCTTGGAGCGTCTGGGAGGCCTCGTGGGCCGTCTTAGGCCATCTTGAGGCTATAGGCCGTCTTGGGTGCATCTTGGGCCATCTTGGAGGCATATTGGGACCATCGTAGCCGTTTTGAAAGCCATCTTGGGGCATCTTGGGGCCGACTGGGGCAGGAAAACCGTATGCAACCGGGTCTTCAGGGTGGCCGGCGGGACGGGCCGAAGCCCCAGGGAGAGTTCTTTTGGAAAAAGAACCCAAACCAAAACCGACATCGTCTAGCACGCCAGGCACCCCTGCGATGAATCGACAGGGGGCGGTGGATCGAAGACGCCTACGGCGAATCACCGCCTCCCCCTGCCTTTTCGGAAGCGCCTATGTGGCCGAACGTTGAGGCCAGACCTGCCAAGCTATCGGACTATGTGTTCCCCGAATCGGTTTGGAAAGCCTTCGGGGAACACGTGGGCATCTTGAAGGTCATCTTGGCCGTGTGGAGGCCATTTTGACCCTTTCGGGCCTTCTTGGAGGACGTCTTGGAGGGCTCTTGGGCCGTCTTGGAGGCCATCTTGAGCGTCTTGGAAGCCTCCTGGGCCGTCTTGGGGGCCTCTTGGGGTCGTCTCGGGCCTCTTGGGGGATCTTTGGGGGCACTTGGGCCGTCTCGGGCCGTCGGAATGCCGAAAAGAAGCAAATACCAAAATCTTTCAAAAACCTTACGCAAATCAATGATTTTGGCCGTTTCGGGCCTTCCTGGAGGCCCTCTTGGAGGCCGGTTGGGCCATCTTGAGAACGTAGTGCCATCTTCGGCCGTTTTGATGGGCCCCTGGCCCGTCCGACGCCGTCGGAAGCCGTTTGTTGGGCCTCTCTGAGCCGACTTCGGGCCCTCTTGGAATGCTCCAGGGCCGTCTTGGAGGCCATCTTGGGCGTCTTAAAAGCCTCTTGGGCCGTCTTGGGGGCCTCTTGGGGGCCTCTTGGGGCCGTCTTGGGGGCCTCTTGGGCCGTTCTGGGGCCATCTTGGAGGCATCTTGGACGATCTTTAGGCGTTCTTTGGGAGCTCGTGGGCCGTATCGGGCCGTCGGAAGGTCGAAAAGTAAATGTCAAACGCCTACGGAAAATCAATGTTTTTGGTCGTTTCTGGCCTTCCTGGAGGCCCTCTTGGAGGCCTCCTGGGCCGTCTTGGGCCAGCTTCGAGCCAACTTCGGCCGTATTGGTGGGCTCCTGGCCCGTCTGACGCCATCGGAAGCCGCCTTTCTGGGCCGACTTGGGGTCCTCTTGGGGTGCTCCAGGGCCGTCTTAGAGGCCATCTTGGGCGTCTTGGAGGCCTCTCGGGTCGTCTTTGTGCCCTCTTGGGGCCGTCTCGGAGGCCTCTTGGGCAGTCCTGAGGCCATCTTGGAAGCCTCTTGGGCACTTGGGGGCCTCTTGGGCCGTCTTCGGTCGTCGGAAAGCCGAGAAGAAGCGAATGCCAAAATCCTTCAAAAACCGATGGAAAATCAATGATTTTGGCCTTTTCGGGCCCTCCTGGAGGACCTCTTGGAGGCCTCTTGGGCCTTCTTGGAGCTTCTTGGAGACCTCTGGGGGGCCTCTTGGGCCGTCTTGGGCTGTCTTGGACTCTCGGAGGTCGTCTTGGACCATCTTGGGCGGATTTGGAGGCCA